CGGCAACCGAGATCGGGGGCCCCGTCGGGCCGGGCGCTGCCCAGACACACGACGACCACGATGTCTGTCTCTCTCTCTGTTTTGCCACAGTGGGGCGCTGATGCCCCGTTACAGCTGCTGCAGGAATGCAGATAGCGGAAGCACCAGTGGGTGTTTGCGTGAGAGCTGAGTTTACATGGCCTGTCCTCTGGCAAGCTGGTGTCTGGCCCAGAGACGCACCTCGCAGCTCCAGGCTGTCCTGCACCGGGCTCCCGCAGGCCCCAGGAGCCCAGGCCCTGAGCAGGGAGAGAAGAGGAGCTGTCCAGAGCACAGCGGTCCTGAAACGCTGAGTTAGCACCACCCGCCGGAGCCGCCCACGCGTGCCCAAGCCAGGGCAGGGCGGCACCAGGCTCCGGGCCGAGCCCAAGCTGATGAGGGGTGTTTGATGGGCCAGAGAGGGTCTGGGGAGGTGGGGGACTCTAGCCCTGCCCCCGCAGGGCACCCCATTGGGAAACACGCCAACTCCACTGGCATCACCCCACCAAACCGCTTCGAGCCGCCGGCCAAGCCGAGCCACAAGTGCCCTGGCTACGGGGGGAGGGAGGGGGCTCCCGAATGTCGGCGGACACAGGGGCCCCCCAACAGGGTGCTGCAAGCAGCCCCAGGGAGGTTCAGACCCAGGGCCCAGCAAGGCGCTTCTGGCTCAGCTCGCTGCAGGCCAGTGGGCATGGGGCCCGTGCAGCCGTGCGCTGCCCCCGCCCCCTCCACAGGAACAACCCGGGAACATACCCAAGGGCCCGTGTGCGGGTCTGTGTGCACCGTGTGTGCACACACATGCGTGTCCACGAGCCACTCCTGCTGCCCCGTCTCCCCCGCACACCACGGCAATCACCAGAGAAAGCTCACACGGGCAGCAGGGGGTGGGACTGAGCTTCCCTCCCCAGAGGGCAGCACGCTCAGCAAGGGGGGCTGCCCCCCACTCGACAGCTGCGGGGAGGGGGGGCGGCGCAGCGAGCGCCCCACAGGGAGGGACTGTGAGCAAAACGGGCTTCCCACGACAGCGAGAGATTTCAGGACGGACGAACGGACGGACGGGGCGGACAGAGAGCAATCAGAGCCCCGCTTGCTCCTCCAGCTGGCGTCCGAGCGAGGAGCAGGACACTGCCTCCCGGGGCCCCACGCTCCAGCCCCGGCCGTCGGGTGCATTGACACAGACTCACGGCAGGCAGCCGCCAGCACCGGGGAGGGAACCCAGGCGTCCTGCGGGGAACCCAGGCGTCCTGCAGGCAGGCATGTGGACCGTTATTCCCTACGCAGCCGCCTCACCGGCTTGATCAGCGCTAAGGCAGCCCATGCTGCAGGGTGCTGCCAACCGCCACCGAACCGCGCCCGCCGAGCCGGGGCGTCAAACCAGCCTGGGCTAAACATTGCGACCTCCAACCGTCCCCACCCGAGCGCTTCCCCTCCATGCCGATCCCCCCCGCCCAGCAAGCTGCAGCCCCAGGGAGCCGCCTGCAACGTGTGACCCCCCCATGCTGGGGCCAGGCCCCCCAGCAGAGCCAAGGGAGTGGTGCCCACTCGCATCGGCGCAGCCCCCGGCGGACCAGGCAGCTCGCACAAGGGACAAAGCAGCAATTTAGGGCTTGGGTGAGGGCCGGGGGGCCCCTGGCTGCTTGGGGGGGCAAGGAAGCTGTTACAATCTCCCCCCCGCCGGCCGGCCCCAGGGCGATTTGCTCTCCAGGCTGCGCTCTGGGGCAGGGAAGATTCCCTCCACGATCGCTGTCCCACCCCTTCCACGGGGCCGGCCCCCACACAGTCCAACTCCTTGGGGGGACGGGTTTCCTTGGGGGGGCAGCACCCTCCTCCCCACCCTCCACACTCGTTAGCACTGTGCCTGGGGTTAACGAGGATCTGAGCAAGCCGGGCCGGCTTCACACCAGCCAGTTCCCCTGCGCTGCTCCCGATCCACACAGAATCGGGGCCCTTTTCTCATCTCCAGCAGCGGCGGCGGCAGGTCCCCCTACAGCCCGCCAGCCCCCTCACCTCCAGCTCGCCATCCCTGGCTCCCCCAGCCCCCTGCAGTGTCGTCGTCCCCCCCAGCTCCTCCAGCCGGGATCCCCCAGCCCCTTGCAGTCCCGTGCCCCCAGCCATGTCCCCCCCCAGCTCCTCCAGCCTGGGATCCCCCAGCCCCCTGCCCCCCCCCCCCCCCAGCTCCTCCAGCCTGGGATCCCCCAGCCCCTGCAGTCCCCCCCAGCGTGCTGAGGGGGTTTGAAGCAGGCACGTTCGGTATCGGAGCGGTCGTGGGGGGGACCTGACACCTGGCTCGGGAAGGACACACAAGCCAAGCCAGCTCCAGTCCACGAGCGAACAATTCACCCCAACGAGCCCCCAAGACGCACAGGAGGGAGGCGGAGGGCGCGTCCCATCGCAGACCCAGCAGCACGTCCCCAGCCCGCGGCTGCCCCGAGCGGCCCAGCCACTGGCAGAGCTGGGACCCCCCCGGGCCGGGGCCACAATTCAAGCCAGAGAAAGCGCAAAGCCTCTGGCGCATCCAGCGGGTGCAGAATCGACTCGGCCGGGCACGAAGCTGCCAGAGCGGGGGGGGGGGGGGGGGGGGGGCGGGCCCCCTCGGGGGGGGGGGGGGGGGGGGGGGGCTGGATTATTGTTCGCTCAGTGCCTGCAGCACCTGCCTCCCAGAGGGGCCAGCCAGCGGGGTCACTGGCACGGCCCCATCGGCTCCCCTGCAGCAGCTGGGGGGCCACCAGCCCCTCGCCTGGTCTCCCGCAGGGGCCGGGGGGGAACCACAGCAGGGACACTTCCCTCTCCAATTTGCCATGGGTGCAGGAGGGTCTGAAAATCCCGCCTCACCCCACAAAGGGAACCGGAGCCAAAGGAGTCTGGAAACGCAGGAGCGTGACCGCGGGGCCCAGCCCCACTCAGCCCCATGCTCGGACAGACGGCCAGGAGAGAACGCTGCAGCCAGTAAATCTGTAACAACCAGCCCCCCAGCGATGGGGACCCACAGCACAGAGCAGCCGCTGGTCTGTTCTCCCCCCGGGGGTCCCGCCCTGCTCAGTCCCAGCGGCACAGCTCTCCGGGGGGCTCTCCATGCGAAGTGGGGGAGGCAGGGAGATGGACGGCGGGGGGGCAGGGAGCAGAGAGGCTGGGGCATCCCCCGCCAAGCTGGAGCAAAACACAGACAGCCCCGAGAGGGTCCCTGCACAGGCTGCCGGACATGGACGGACCCTGACCCCCGAGTCAGCTGCCCAGCAGCGTGCGGGGCACCCAGACGGACAGATACCCCCCCACCCACCCAGCCGCTCACGCAGACGGACGGACGCAGGCACGCAGATGGACAGACAGACACCCCCCCAACTCACACACAGCCACTCATGAAGACACCCGGCCACCGGGCACCCAGCCAGACACCCACACACACACAGCCACTCGTGCAGACACCCGGCCACGGGGCACCCAGATGGACGGACACCCCCCCCAGACACAGCCGCTCCCGCAGACACCCGGCCACGGGGCACCCAGATGGACAGACACTCACACCTCGACACGCACAGCCGCTCCTGCAGACACCCGGCCACGGGGCACCCGGATAGACAGACACCCCCCCAGACACAGCCGCTCCTGTAGACCCCCCGCCACGGGGACTCACGATTTTCTCCGAGGTGCCGGCCCGGGAGATCGTGGTGCCGTTCAGCCCCACCAGGGACGGCAGCGTCTGCGACATCCAGTTGGTGACCATGGCCATGGTGCTGAGCACGGCTCCGATCTTCAGCAGCGGCACGGTCATGTCGGCCCCTGCCTCATCCCCCCTCGGTGGGGCGGCAGCCTGCTTCCCGACCCTCGGCTCCCGGCCCAGGGAGCCCCCTCGCGCCCCCGCTCGCCAGCCGGCCCCCCGGCCTCCTCCGGGGCTGAGAGCGAGCCGAAGAGAGCCGCGCGGCTCCGCTCCCGTCCTTATAAAGCGCCCGGCTGGAGCGAACCCCCGCTCCGCTCCCCATCACTTCCAGCCGAGTGACGTCAGCTGGCGCTGGCCACGGGCCGGCCGGGCGGGGGGCGGGCCGAGCAGACATGGCACTGGGAAGCCCTGGCCATCTGGCCCGGTCTCCGCGGAGCCCTGGGCTCCCGGGGGGAGACGGGGGCTCGTCTCTGAGCCTCTAGCACCAGCCAGGAGCTTAGGGGGTTGTCGAGGAAACGGGCAGGAATCTGGGGAGGGGGGTTACGAGAGCTGAGGGGAAGGACACATCAAAGCGGTGAGATGGGGGGGCTGGTCACTGGGAGAGCATCGCACAGGGGGCCCTGTCAGTCACTTAGGACCTCGCCAATCGTCAGCCGGCTGCAGGGAGAGGCCCTGGCCCCACGTGGGGGCTCCGGGGAGGAGGAGGGGGGACCCCTGCACCGAGGGGGGGCTCCGGGGAGGAGGGGTAGCTAGCAGGATGGGAAGGGCCTGGCCCCCCCCCCCCGGGTTGCCCCAGAGCAGAAGGGAGAGCGAATGGCTGATAAGGCCGGGACCTCAGGACCCTGCAGCCCCCACAGCCCAGCTGCTCCCTCCCTGGAAGGGACCCGACCCTGCTATTGCTGCTGACCCCCCCAAGCAGGGGAGAAAGTGCCCAGACATGCTGGTGGTGGCACTGTACCGAGCCCAGACACAGGGGAACAGACCAGGCCACTTGGCCAGAGGCTGCTGCCAGAGACGTGCGGAGCCCTCCAGAAGGGGGGGGGGGGGTTGCATCATGTAAACTCCCCCCCGCCCAGCTCTGCCGGTGCCCCTCACTCCTGACCCGCAGCCCCTGCTAGGCCAGCCCTGGGCTCCCCCCAACCCAGTTCTGTCAGTCCCCCTCAATCGTAACTCTCTGCCCCTTCCCCCCCAGCTACCCCAGCCTGCCCCGCCCCAGCCCGGTACAAACCCTGCGCCGAGTCTCCCCCACCTGCCACCTGGGGCTGCTCCCCACAGGGGCTACACGGAGCCAGACGCCGAGCGCATGGGGCAGGACATGGGTACTACCCCCGTCGTGCGGGGGGCGCCTGGGGCACCCTCGCTCAGCGGGGATGGGTCACAGGGCCAGGTGCCCGGCAGGCTGCGCTCCAGCCCTGCCCCTCCCCACTCCAGACAGCGGCCCCGGGGCCCGCACGCGCCCCCTCTCTGTCACTAGCGGGACTGGCCCCTTTGCCCCCCGGCTGCGGCGCTGTGACTGCAAGAACCGGCTCAGAGGCTACGTGATCGTCCCCCCCCCAGCACCCCCACCCTGCACCTGCCTCAGCCCAGCCCCCTCCCCCCGCCGATTAGTTTCCAAGCCCGGCGTCGCCACCTGCTGGCCACACGGACGTCTCACTACCTCGGATCGGGCCACAGAGCAGCTCCCTCTTCATGCTGGGACAGAACCCAGGAGTCCTGGCTCCAACCACTCGACCCCACTCCCCTCCCAGACCTACAGATAGAACCCAGGAGTCCGGGACCCTGCATCCACACAACTCAGTACACAGGAAGGAGTGTTTGTTTTGTTCACATTAACATAATTTCTATGATGGGAGCCCCGTCGGGCCGGGCGCTGCCCAGACGCACAGGGACCGAGACTGGGCCCCGTCGGGCCGGGTGCTGCCCAGACACACGGCGTCTGAGATCGGGGCCCCGTCGGGCCGGGTGCTGCCCAGACACACAGGGACCGAGATCGGGGGCCCCGTCGCGCCAGGCGCTGCCCAGACACACAGCAACTGAGACTGGGCCCCGTCGCGCCAGGCGCTGCCCAGACACACAGCGTCCGAGATCGGGGGCCCCGTGGGGCCGGGTGCTGCCCAGACGCACGGCGACCGAGATCGGGGGCCCCGTGGGGCCGGGCGCTGCCCAGACACACAGGGACCGAGATCAGGGCCCCGTCGGGCCGGGCGCTGCCCAGACACAGCAACAGACAGTCCCTGCCTTGGAGAGGTGTCCGTTGTGTGACTTCGGGCCCTGGTTCAGCACGATGTAACGCTCGGCACTTGGCTGAATCGGGGCCCCCGTCCTGAGTCCAGAATCCGGATTCCCAGTGCCCGGAGGGCGGCTGTGGCCGTTCCTCGGGCGGGGGGCTGGGCTGGGCTCCATCGCCGTCCCCATCCCCAGGGGCTGCTCTCCGAGGACGGGCTCCTTGGGGCTGAGCGCGCTTTGGACGTGCTCTCCGCCCCGCCTAGCGCTGGGAACCCAGACCAAGCCGGACTGAATGGTGCTGCAGTGCCACCTTGTGGGGACGAGCAGTCACTGCGCGTGCACACACACAGCGAGACAGGGCCCATCTAGCCTGGTATCCCGGCTCTGACAGCAGCAGCACCACACGCACACACGCACGCACACACGAGTCCCTAGGCCAGCCCAGGGCCCATCTAGCCCGGTATCCCGGCTCTGACAGCAGCAGCAGCACACACACACGCGCGCGCGCACACACACACACACGCATACGAGTTCCTAGCCCAGCCCAGAGCCCATCTAGCCCAGTATCCCGGCTCTGACAGCAGCAGCACCACGCTGTGGAGGAAGGCGCCCGGAGCCCTGCAAGTGGCAGCGGTGGGATTCTCTGCCCCAGGGAAGCCCCCTGCTGACCCCTGGGAGTTTGAGGTCAGGACGCAGGGGGTCTCTGGCCCAGCCAGGCCTCTTGGGCCCGTTCTGCCCCTCGCTGCTCTAACTAGGGACGTTCTTGTTAGCCACAGAAACGACTGGTCCCTTTTCTCAGCCCTGCCCAGCTCTCGGCTGCACGGAGACTGTCAGTTCTTTGAGGCAGGGCCCGTCTCCATTCAGTGTCTGCGCCACGCCCTCAACCCTGGGGCCCTGCCATAACACCAGTAAACAGCACTCCTCAGCCTGGGTGAACCCTGTGGCAGAGAGTTCCACCGGCCCACGCCTCTTCCTCTCTCCCGTTTGGAACCTGCTGCCTTCCAGCCTCACTGAGCCTCACCCAGGCCACGGGGGCGGGAGCGAGACAGTCACCTTCTCTCCCCCATTTATCCATCACGCAAACCCCTGCACCAGGTGCCAGCACCGGCTACTTGGGCTCCGGCTCCCCCCATCGGTGGGGCGAGTGGAGGCGGCCCCAGGCCAGGCTGGCTGCAGGGGGCTCTTCCGAGTGCCTGGGGGGGGGGCGCAGTGGGGAGACAAGGATGAAGCCGAGGGGGCAGACTCCGGTGGGCAGAAAAACAGAGCCCGGGGGAGCAGGAGGGGCAAGGTGGGTGCAGCCCCCTCCCCCCAGGGCTCCGGGTGAGGTGCCTCAATCAGGCACACACACTCCCCCCCCCCAGCCTCAGCTAGGCAGAGCTTGCAATGGGGTGAGACGCAGGGCAAGGGGGGAATCAGCGTCACTGCCCTGTGCAGTCACTTCCAGGCAGGGGGCAGGCAGGCGGTGCCCAGATGCTGCGGGAGGCTCCCCCCGAACCCCCTGGAACTGGCACCATGAGGGTCGAGGCCCAGAGACCCCAGGTCTGTCCCATCTTCCCTGCCCCCGTGCCAGGCTGCATGCCAAGGACACTGCCCTGTGCGTGGTTGGTAGCAGCGCCGGACGCTGCAGCGCTGCCCTGCCCTGACTGAGACGGGGCATCCTGGTGCCTGGTGCCGGCAGGGACCCAGCGAGCGTCAGGTGGCAGCAGCAGCCCGCGCGTCACACCAGCCGAGTCCCCGCAGGCGACGGGCTGCGGCTCAGCGGTCACGGAGTGCGGGCAGCACAGCTGTGCGCTGGTGTGATAGGGGAGACCCTGCCCCGGCCCCGCCCCTGCACCCCTGCCGGCTCCCTCCCAGCCCCGGACCCGCCCCCGCCCCCCTGCCGGCTCCCTCCCAGCCCCTGCCCCGGACCCGGCCCCGCCCCCCTGCCGGCTCCCTCCCAGCCCCTGCCCCGGACCCACCCCCGCCCCCCTGCCGGCTCCCTCCCAGCCCCTGCCCCTTCACGCTGCCGCTTTGCTGTGCCCCGAGTGCCCAGCCCCAGCCCTCTCTCTGCAGGACTCTGGCCAGCTGGGGAAGAGAGACCCCCATGAGGGAAGCCCCTTGCCCCGCCTGGGGCACCCAGCTCCCGACGGGCGTCCCAGCAGCACCCACAATGCCCAGCCTGGCTGAAATACACACACCCGGCCCCGCTCTCTGGGTCGCCAGCGGGGAGATGGCACTGCCCGTGGGGCCAAGGGAACGGGAGCTGGAGGCGCTGAGGTACCCGCCCCACGGAGGGGGCACAGACACCTACACGGGAAGTGTGTATAGTTACACTACAAGCCAGAGATCAGTGACCCCCTGTCACGGAGTCCCCGGGCGATGCTCTGGAACTGCTCCCCGCAAAGCCAGTCAGGACTCTGGGGAGCCTCCTCTCCCACGGAGCAGACCGTCTTCAGGGCAAGAAGCTCACATGGCTTCACCTCCTGGGTCTCTCCTGGGAGCATTCAGCAAATGCCCCTCCGTGCATTTCCCACAGCGAGTCCGCCCTGGCGGGGTCCTGGGGCAGCCAGAGGGTCCTGCACCCCCACTTCGCAGTCAGACGTGACTCTCAGCCAGCCAGTAAAACAGAGGTTTATTCGATGACAGGAACATGGTCTAAAACAGAGCTTGTAGGTCCAGAGAACAGGACCCCTCAGCCGGGTCCATCCTGGGGCCCAGCGAGCCAGACAACCCTGTCTGCCTTCCCTTCCCGTCCCCAGCCAGCTCCAAACTGAGACCCCCTCCAGCCCCTCCTCCTCTGGGCTGTGTCTCTTTCCGGGGCCAGGAGGTCACCTGATCTCTTTGTTCACCTTTAGCTATTTCCTTGCAGGGGGGAAGGGCCCCGGCCATTTGTTGCCAGGATACAGAGTGTCGGCCATTTATGCACACTGGAGACTTAGGAAATGCACCGGGGAAACTGAGGCACCCACCCAGTATTCAGAGGAAACATTAAGAACAGTCCCACTTCGTCACATCCCCCTCGGTGCCCAGC